GTTCTACAGGTGGTCAGTTAGCTCAGTTAGCGGGACATTTGGTTAATGATGCAGAGTGATGGCAACAGTGTGAGTTCAGTTGCCTTACCAGCTGAGGTGCCACCTTCTCAATCCTGCCCTTTACCTGAGGCATGGTGACCCTCACTGTCAGTCCCCTCTCTCTGTCTCCCCCTTTGGGTCCCTGGCACTGAGATGACTTTACTTACTTACTTTTCTACAGAAAACCACAAATAAGCTGCATATATCACACTTATACATGGAGTTAGCACTTATAGTGTGTATTAATTCAGATGGCAGGCTGAGTTCATCAATGATCTCCAGGACATCGTACCTTTGCCTTTCAGATCCAAATTTACCCGAGGTTGATTGGTAGAAATTCTCTTCAAACGAAGAAGCTCAATAGATTTCAAGTCAAATACATGAAAACCAATAGCATTACTCAACACAGAAGTGGCAAACTCCCTCAGATAGGCATAAAGATATTGATGCCGGCATTGCAAACACCTCACCCTCATGCTAACATTTGGAGGAAAGAGATAAGCTTGTGTTGCAACTCGCTTTTCTCTTCTCTAAGCTGGAAACATCTAGTACTGATAATGGGTGGTGAAATCGGTAAAAGAAAGTTTCATTGCTCAAAGTGATGAGTTGCAAATTAGTTCCCTATTATCTCCACAAAAGAATTACTCAAAAAGAACTACAAAAGATTTACCAGGATGTTGCCTGGTATGGAGGGCATTAGCTGTGAGGAGAGGTTGGAGAAACTTGGGTTGTTCTCACTGGTACGTCGGAGGTTGAGGAGCGACCTGACAGAGGTCTACAAGATTAGGAAGGGTATGGACAGAGTGGACAGTCAGAAGCTTTTTCCCAGGGTGGAAGAGTCAGTTCCCGGGGGGCATAGGCTTAAGGTGCGAGGGGCAAGGTTTAAAGGTGATGTATGAGGCAAGATTTTTACACAGAGGGTAGTGAGTGCCTGGAACTCGCTGCTGGGGGAGGTAGTGGAAGCAGATACAATAGTGACTTTTAAAGGGCATCTTGACAAACACATGAATAGGATGGGAATAGAGGGATACGGTCCCTGGAAGGGTAGGGGGTTTTAGTTGTGACGGACAGCATGTCCATTGGAGGGCTGAAGGGCCTGTTCCTGTGTTGTAATTTTCTTTGTCTTTGTTCCAAAAATCTAAACAAAGAAACTTAAATGTTATACAGTATAATTACAGGAAAAGGGAGTCACTGTTATTAAAGAAGCTTCACTCTCTCTATGTGTATAAGTGAGTCAAAATTGAAGTTTCAACTCACTTAGAATCAGCAGGCCTCTGCTCAAACTCCTTTCAGAATCTCCTTTGCGGCGCTGTGACATCATGTAGCCAGGTCCCTGCTGTCTGCTTGCTGAAATGGTGGGAATCAATACTTCAAGTCCTGAACTTTGTGAAATACAGCACTGATTTTACTTACAAAAACCGCACTACGGTATGCATGTGATCACTTAAAAAACAAACCAAGGCTGACATGGTTCCCACGCATCTGCTTTAAAGTCACACTCCTCCATGAGCTGGTTGCCAGTCACCCAGCATTGATTCTGTGGTAACTGGTGCACTTGAGCTGTTATAAACAATATTTCCATCAGTGGGCCTAATATTCTGAGTGCAATAATTTGCTGAGATGGGAAGTGGTGCAGTGTACCAGACTGTAAGTTGATGTTATCACATTGACCCATCTACCGGCACAGCTTGATCATATATTCATCGCTGTATTTCTTTTGGTTTGCATTTGGGAATCGAGGAAGAATCTTGCAAATCAGCACATGCATGAATTATTCATGATGTGGGATTGAGATAGAATATCCGAAAGTTAAAAAAACCCTAACCTACAAGGATGAAAATCGCTCACAGTTTAAATTTTGCAAATTCAGATAGAATGGTGAATGCGTGAAACACAATATTCGTGGACAAAAGAAAGAAGATTGTATTGGAAGATTCAAGAGGGAATAGGTTAATTTTCTATAAAATAAGCAATGTCAGAACAATGAGATTCTGTGTGGCGTTTATGGAACATTCTAAATCGCCACATTATGCACAAAGTTAATTTATCACCTTATATATTCTTCTGTTTATTAAAAAAATGTATATATTGTTAGCTTCTTCATGACATAGTATGATCCTATTAGGGCAAATGTTTAGCTTTGTGCAATTGTTTGATGGCAAACCAAGAGCTGTGCATCATCAATTTTCCAATAGGTGATCATGACTCCATGTTGCCACCACAGGAACAAAAAATGCATTCTTATGTATAGTGTTCATTGACATGATGCTTCTAGCAAAATCAGGGTGTGTTTTGCTCTAATACTAGACCACTTGGTTGCAAATTCCATTTGATTATTCAGTCCTGCACTCCTCATTACCGTGCATTTAACTAGAGGACTGAGGGGCCACTACATTGATTACAGTGCCACCTTTCTTAAGATCAGGCTTCTTCTGGTCTATCAGAGAGATGTAAAAGAAACCACGGCATTATTAAGGGAAGAAAAGGAGTTCTAGCAGTGCAGAAACAAAATTCTCTGACTGATGGACATCTGAGGTAAAATACTTGGCAGATTAGTTTAACAGAGTTTTAGCAAATACAGGACAGCTTGACAGAATTCCCTGCTCCACACCCAGTCTGACCTCTCTGTCTTCGACCTCCTACACTATTCCAATGTCAGCTCAACCACACCTGGATTCAATACCAAGTTCAACAACTTAGGGTCATAACCTTCCTTCCCTTTTATTTTGTATTTTGCTTGTGTTTGGACAGCGGCTGATGGTGTGAATCTGATTGCCCATTTACACTCCTCAAGACATTTTCTTTTGTTCCTTTACTTGCTATATTACCCTTTGCTATTGCCTTGCATTATTATCTTTCTATTTTTAGACTCCTCGGTCTTCTGTCCTATCATCAACCCTTCCTCTTAATCTTCCAGGATCCTTTCTCTTCCTCTGTATTTACTTAAAACCTGTCACATCACAAACCTTTTCCAGCTTGATGAAAGCTCATTGACCAAAGCATTTACCCTGTCTCCTTTTCCACAGATGTACCAGACATGCATATCTAAACCAACATCAGTGAAAATATATTCACCAATCATTAGTCTCATTTGGCTGCTGGCTCAAATAATTAGTTAGCTGAGTGTGAATCAGAGAATTTTACAGCACTGAGGAATGCTGGTGCTGGTTCGTTCAAAAACCTATCTAATTAGTCCCACTCTCTTGCTCTCTCCCCTTGACCTGGAAACCTTTCCTTTCTCAATTTCCTTTTGAAAGTTACTATTGAAACTGCTTCTACTACTTCTTCCGGCAGTGAATTCCAGATCATGTTAACAAGCTGTGTGAAAAAAAGACTCCCCTTCTGCTTCTTTTGCTAATTATCTTAAACCCACATTCTCTGGTTCTTCCTCTCTCTATCTACTCTATTAAAACGTCACATAATTTCAAATGCCTCTCTTGATTCTCCCCTTAACTTTCCCGGCACTGGGATAAACAACAGCTTCTTGAAGCAAAAATAAATCATCAAACTGAAATGTTGACTCTAATTCTTTTACCAGAAATGCTCCCTGCCTTCAGAGCATTTCCAGAATTTTCTACTTTAATTGCAGCTTCCTTAGTCTCTTCATATGACTAAAGTTCTTCATCTCTGCTACATTCTAGTAAATCCCCTTCACACCCATTCAAGATGTTAACACCTTTAGTATGTAATATTTTTTAGGACAGCTCGATGCGATAACAAGGGGATTCATAAATACAAATTATTTATTAGCCTTTTTATTCTCTTCATACTAATTAACTAACACGCCAAAGAAATTGGGGAAATAATTCTGTGAATGCAGATCTGGAGCTTGCTAAATAAATTATGAATTTTGTCCAATCATCTCAAACTTCACAGATATCTTAGGATGTTCTTAATCTAGCTTTTAGTTTTTCTTCTAATTCTTTGATATCGCTTCTTCGCAAGATTTAGGCGCTTGTACAATCACAGGCCTGCTGAGTGTCACATTTTCAAGAGGTCTAAAATATAACCAGAAACGTTCAAATACTCAAGAGATTTACTCCTCAAATTTCAAACACTTGTTGATTCTCTCCCTGCCATTCAAACTGCAGCTTTTGCAAAACTCTTCAAGCCTAGCCTACAGTTAATGATCTTCGAGACCGTTCGCAAAGTTCTACTTTGAAAGTTTTGTAAAACATTACATATGTATGTATTTTTGCCAAGTAGATTCTGAAAGGAATTATTGCTGTAGCATTCCGATTCCAAGTGGATTGAAAATACTTTTTGATGTCTGGTTGAGAAAGTAAAACTTAAATTAATAACAACAATTAAATACAATAACCAACTTAATATTAAAGATTTATTTTGGGGATTTTTCTTTTTAATAGCAAAGGAAGTTAGGCTGCTTTATGATCTTACTAGAGGCAGAGGGTAAGAACTGAACAGTTACATCATGAAATATTGGCAATTTTTGCAGTGGAAATGAATGACATAAATTATGATACAAATCATAGAAGGTAAGTTAATGCAGTGAAATATGTCTAATAGTCATCTCATAGGACTTTTTTTTATTCTTTAAGTATATTGTTGGGACTTTGTAACAAGCAGCTCTCGAAGCTAAAGAACAAAACATAATTTAATTTGATAGAGCCATTAAACAGCATTATCATGATATGAAGTACAGGTAATAGTTGATGGCACAAATCAAAGCAGAGATATAGTTTATTATCTTTTAATCTCCTTCAATGTAATCACATAATGAATCATCACATTACACGATTATGGAGGAGGAGCTGACTCGTAAATGCCAGCTAATGATACCTGAACAGCGTCATCATCAAAACTGATTTACATATATGTACAACATTGTGCACACCCACACACACAAAAATATATGGACTGGAAATTTTTACGACAACATGGTTTTCAATAAATCATAAGCTAACAGCTTTAACAACAAAATGTTTCTTTCATTGACACAGTTGCCATGTTCGGATCATTCTGCTGCGTCCCTTTGTACATCTGGATGACAAGGACAGGCATCTACTTACTGACCACAGCTCCACCTTCAACACTATAATCCCAACAAAACTAATTTCCAAACTCCGAAACCTAGGTCTCTAATCAGCCCTCTGCAACTGGATCCTCGACTTCCTGACCATTAGACCACAAGCAGCAAAGACAGGCAACAACACCCCCTCCACGATATTCCTCAACACCAGTGCCCCGCAAGGCTGCGTACTCAATCCCCTACTGTACTCCCTGTACACTCACCACTGTGTGGCCAAATTTCATCTGAACTCCATCTACAAGTTTGCTGACAGCACCACTGTTGTAGGCTGGATATCAAACAATGACAAGACAGAATATAGGAAAGGGACTAAGTGCTTGGTGGCATGGTGTAAAGGTAACAATCTGTCCCTCAATGTCAGTAAAACGAAAGAGCTGATCACCGACTTCAGGAAGCATGGAGAAGGACATGCCTCTACCTACATCAATGGAGCTGAGGTGGAGATGGTTGAGAGCGTCAAGTTCCTAGGAGTGACGATCACCAACAACCTGTCCTGGATTACCCGCATTACCCCGCTTATAATCTCTTCCAACCTCTTCCATCAGACAGAAGATTAAAAAAAACTTAAACACACTACCGACAGATTAAAGAACAGCTTCTTCCTCGCTGTTTTTAGACTTCTGAATGGACCTCTCAAATTTCAAATCTACTGTCGATCTTGCTTTTTGTGCACCTTCTCTGCAGCTGTAATTTTGTATTCCTCAGTCGGTTCTATCACCCTATGATCTTTGAATGGTATGATCTGCCTGTACTGCACGCAAAACAAAACTTGTCACTGTACCTAGGTACATGCGACAATAATAAAACAAATCAAATCTTGACTCTATCTCCATGGCTCTAAATCAAATTGATGGCAATAGCAATGCCAACATACATAGTAAAACTTCATTAACACATTTAAACAGTTCTCTCACCAATCCCAGAATCCATACTAATGTATTCTGGTACTAAATCTATTTTGTATTAAATCAATGAAGTAACTGTGTAAAGTACCAGTTTAAAATTGCAACATTGGGCTGAATCTTTGGCCCTCCTATGTCACGTTTGGCGGCCAAATGGACGTTTAATCAGGTGTCACTTTCCTGCCTCCACACTGATCAGGCCAATGGTGAAATGGTCTATGCACGGCCTTTCTGTCTTGCTGTCAGTTGAGTCACCTAAGTGGGCAACTCATATCCAGACAGAGCCACACCCTGCTGCTGCTGGTACTAACCCACGTGTGCTTGCTTGTAGGCCCCTGGAGGTGGGGAATGTCATTTAAAGGCACTGAGTGCCTGACTGAAGGACCCAGCTTGGGGCTTAGGTGCACTGAGATTCAACACCATCCATGCCCCTTTGCTGCCAATTTCCCTCGGCTGAGTACGGAGGAGCTGCCAGGCCTAATTGGTCAGCAGCTTTCGGTGGGCAGTGCTTCCAAAGAGTCACAGCCACTGCCCCACTCCGCCGCCACCACCCCCCATCAACCCCTGCTTCCTCCCTGGGTCCTCGATGCCGAGGGAAAGCCCAATGCTGGCCTGTTACATGCTTGAGTGTCAGAAGAAGCAGCAAGCTTTCTCGAAAAGTGGCAGTGCCTAAACCCACCAGCTCTCCAGTTGATGGCTGGGACTCCCATCACCTCCACCAGAGTCTGCCCACCAACGCTCGAAAATCAGCTCTGCCTGTTACATGTAATAAATAAAAAAATGTGCAATTGCGTAGTAAACAAGAAGAGTGATTTCTACTACTTGAACGGAATTAGCTAAGAAATCTTACCATAACGCTCAACTTGTACAGCTTAAAAATCAAAACTCAATAGTCTAGGATTAAAAATAATTTGGAAGAATCTTCATTAGTAATTGATTGTTTAGTATTTAATCAAATTCCAAAAATCTGCTGAAGAGCATCTGCTACTATAGCCCTGCCTTGAATGGCCGATAGTTATGCATTATGCTAATTTCACACTGCTCTCCATTTTCTGCCTGCTACTGAGCTGGCACCCATCCTTGAACAATAAGGATTTTAACAGCAGCTGGCTGTCTATCAAAGAAGACCATGTGTCACCAATCTGATTTAATACAGAATAGATTTAGTACCAGAATAGATTAGTATGGATGCTGGTTTCCAGGAAATGATTGTTCCTATTAAAATGGCATATTTGAATAGCTAGCCAAGCAGGAGTATGTATGATTGCTGTTAAAGCTTTGAAGAAAACAGTAAGAATGAAATCCCTTTTTTAATATCTGTTCAGTATGCCAAGTACAGAGTCTCCCCCACAGACAAATTATCCTACTGTTATTTAATAACATTTTACAGAAATTCTACAGACGTTAGAATGAGCATAGAACAATTCAGTGTGTGAAAGGATAACACCTAACCTCCCATTCACCCGTCTCCCCATTAGTCTTCAGCTTTTACCACACAAGAAGCCTGGTCCCAAGCAACACAAGGGAAGAGCTCTATCCTCTTCACAATCTTTATGTGTTTACAACGTATTTTCTTGGCTACAAATGATTTGGCAGTTGCATCAGCTTGAAGTTATGCATAGTAAACGGAGGTATTTGTTTTCCTGGCAGTTGCTGTTTTCCTTACTGGACTTTTATATTTAAGCTTGCCCAGTAAATATTGAGTTTCCATAAGGCGGCAGCACAGAAGGAACACACAGACACGTTAGATGAACACATATGGGCAATGTAGAGAAGACATATTGTGTAGCATTAATAAGCATGCATAAGAAATAAACAGTAACAGCACATAGTTAACATATAAAGCCATACAAAGTTTAGAATTTTCATGAACAAAATTAGACCAATCTTAGGACCATATTTTGCAAATACTATTAAATAATTCACCTTTGGAAAGTTTCCCCATTCATTAAATGACATTCAATCTCCATTTACTCAAACTGCTCCTTTCATTGCTATCTTTGTAAGTTAAGGAAGCTATTAACTAACAAACTAAACATCACTTTGGAGCTCTTGACATAATGCATGATTTGAATAGTTTCTGACAGGGTTATTTCTCTGAAGATATTATACACCTTTCCAGCTCTGCTTTTGAATATTTTGATACATCATACAACATTGTTCTGGATACATGTAAAAACTCTGTCAAGAGTCTAATGTGATTTTAAACCTTACCTCCAAATCAATGTAACAGCTAACTGGTTGAAAGTTCATGATCTGATCACTATTTCCATCAAATTAATGGTTTCCCGTCACTTTAAATTCTTTCTCTGTCCACTCTTCTTCATAATAATCCCCTCCACTTATTATCCAAATTTATCCACACATAAGACCATAAATCATTCTCACCTCACTTTCTTTTCTCAGCTTACTTTTCCATGTAACTTTTCTTAAGTTTAAATCCTTTCTGATAATTCAGCTTACCCTTAGATAATGTGTCACAAACCTCAGAGTTTTATAGTCCTTATTCAATATGGCATTTAAATCTTGATCTTTTCCATGATCTTCAGTGGGATAATGCAAATCTTGTTTATTTTGATGCATCAAAGTACAACTTTGCTGTATTGTATCCAAACCAAGATAACAATCGGCACACCTTACTATGATAATTCAACCTTTATTCATCAAAAAATATTAAAGCTTTAATATCTGTCTGAACTTAATTTCTACTTTGCCTCTACAGCAGTAAACTTTTTTGAGCCAAGGATATATTCTCAGTTTAGCACCTCTCAACTTTCAATGAAGCCCAATTCTGACTAATGTGGAAGAAAACTAGTGTGTGATTTTACATTGGGGGGCCCAGGTATGAGAATATAGGATCTTAAATCAAGGACTTGGTACTCAACAGTATTGGGTCATAGAGTGGTAGGCATGGGTCATTCACTTGTTATTTTACATGTCCATGTCACAGTCAGGATGACGGTAGGAATTCACTCACCGATGTTATGGTGCTGCATTGGGGAGGTTCTTAATAATAATTGTACATCCATTAAGAACTGAACCTGTGCTTACCAAAGAACAAAGAACAAAGAACAGCACAGGAACAGGCCCTTCAGCCCACCAAGAATGCACTGTCACATGATGTCTTTCTAAACTAAAAAACTTTTGCTTCTATACAGTTTGTATTCCTCTGTTCCCTGCCTATTCGTGTAACTGTCAAGGTGCCTCTTAAACACTGCTATTGTGTCTGCCTCAATCCCCTCCTCTGGCAGCGTATTCCAGACACGTACCATCCTCTATGTAAAAAACCTGCATCTCACATCTCCTTTAAACTTACTCCCTTTTATCTTAAACTTATGCCCCCTAGTAATTGACATTTCTACCTTGGGAAAAAAATGATGATATATTCCATCCATGTCACTCATAATTTTGTAAACTTCCATCAGGTCGCCCCTCTCCTTCAACATTCAAATGAAAACAAACCAAGTTTGTCCATCTCTCCTCATTCCCTCCTTTGAGTGTGTGTGTGTGTGTATGTGCGCGTGTGTGTGTATGTGTATGTGTGTGTGTGTGTATGTGTGTGTATGTGTGTGTGTGTGAGAGAGAGAGAGAGAGTGCGTGTGTGTGTGTGTGCGCGTGCGTGCGTAGGCGGGCGTGTGTGGGCGTGTGTGTGTGCGTGTGTGTATGTGCGTGAGTGTGCATGTGCATGTGTGTGTGTGTGCGTGTGTGTGTGTTTGCATGTGAGAGAGAGAGTGTGCGTGTGAATGTGTGTGAGAGAGAGTGTGTAAGTGTGGAGTATGTATGTATGTGGTGTACGTGAGAGAGAGTGTGCATGTGTGTGCGTG